GATAATAAATAGATAGATAAAAAAAATTCAGCAATAGGACTTTTATAATAAATAGATAAAAGTCCTATTGCTGAATTAAATAAATATTTTACATTTTTATCCAATATATTTTTATATATAAAGCAAACTATACTATAGAAACCAAAATCGTTATCCGCGTCTGTCTGTCTCCATATGCTTAGATCTTTAAAGCTGCGCAACGGATTTTGATGCGGTTTTTTTTAATAGATAGAGTCACAGAAATAATATATCTGTGGATAGAGTTATTCTAAAGGAAGGCTTGTGTGTATAATACATGCATATTGCACCCGTGCGAAGCCGGGGTGGGTGGCTAGTATTATGATAAATGCTCATTCCTTCTCCGCGTTAGCTCTAAACTGTTGTAATTGTAATGTCCTTAACGTTATATTCTTCTTTTGTCTCTGGTAACTATATAGGTTGATAGAGGGCGCCCTAGACCTAGACCCGAGATTTATCGACCAGATTGGCGATATTTTAAAGAAGGGCCGAATTAAAAGAAGGTACCTATCCTTAGCCGACGAGAATGAAAAGAATAATGAACGACTGTTGTGAAGCCAAAGAGGTACGTAAGAATCGTACTCGCCTCACCAACGGCGGAAAAAGTCATTGGATGATTTTCCCTCATTCGATAGTCTCTGATTAAAACCCCCAATGGGAGACAAGCGTGAGGTTATGTATGTATATTTTTCTTACATAATTGAACCAACTAAACAAAGTCAATCAAGAAATGAATTGTGTCTAAAATTGATTGAAAAGACTAACCAGTTTCTTGCTCGTTCTTCTCCATAGGAATCTACACTTTACACTAACACTTTTTAGTTTTTGTTTGACCCCCAAAAGTCCCTTGACCAGATCAAGGCACTCTTGAATTCTTCTAATTAAAATACTGCCTCGTTAGCCTCGTGGTCGCAAGTGCGACTACCGGGCAAGGGGCCTCAGGTTCGATTCCCGCGTCGGGCAAGGCAATATTGGGTTTTTAAAAATTCTCAGATGTAGCACGGAGTCTGGAAATATGCCTGGTATATGGCAATAGGCTCACCCTTGTAGTAGTAGGCTACATGGGACTCAGTGCCGTAATGTGCACCTCTGCTTACCCCTTCGGAGATAAAAGCCGTCATGTTATGTGTGTCTAATTAGAATAAACTAATTTAAGTTTTTATAATAACTATCGTGAGACATACTTAATTAACTAAAATCGCAGGTTACTCACGAGAATATACTGAGAAAAGCTCTACTAGTTTCGAACCACAGAGGGGTTCTTCTTCATGAGCAGCGAGCGGGCGCGGCGACGTCTCGTAGCTCACAGCTCAGCTGAGCTGGAGCTGCGAGGAAATTAATTTAACTTTTGACTTTTTGAGAAAATGCTTTTCCTTGACAGTGGGATGGGCTATTGATGAAGTATTCCTGATGGGATGGTAATCGTAGGAATAGGTAAATATTGTGGGACAGCCACGCTTCGGCCACAGCCTCACAGAAAACTAACGTGAAATAACGCTTGCGTTATGTTTCGTCGTGTGACTGAGTTTATCGGAGGTCCAATAAGACTCCACAGTCGCCCCAATCCCTTACCATCAGGTGATTGTTTGCTCGTTTACCGGCTTATTCCATATAAAAATCCACAAGGTCGCATAAATAATATCAATCCTTTTATGTTACCACTTTACAATTGGACTAATAAGATTGACTACCGTCGGTGGCGTCGTTAGTCGAATGATCACAAATCCAACTGCCCAACAAGGAGACGCAGCTTCGATTCTCAAAGAAAAGGTTTGGTCTCTGGAACATCACCATGTTCTAATATTAATGTGTTTAGATTGTAGCGACTTTTTTATGGCATATACGTAAACGAGCAAACGGATCACCTGATGGTAAGCAATCGGCGTGGCCCATAGGCACCTGGAACACCAGAGGCGTTACAAGTGCGTTACCGGCCTTTTGGGGATTAGGAGTTTGAGGATCGTTGGGGATTCAGGAATTGGGAAGATTGAGGAAGGGGAGGGTAAGTGGGCCTCCGGTAACCTCACTCACACGACGAAACACAACGCAAGCGTTGCTTCACGTCGGTTTTCTGTGAGGCCGTGGTTTCACTCCGGTTGAGCCGGCCTATTCGTGCCGAAGCATGGCTCACTTAAAGCTAAACTCATTAATATTATATACAAATGTGAAAGTTTCTTGTTTGAATTTTTGGATGTTCGTTCGTCAATCACACTGAAACTACTGAACGGATTTTGATGTAGGTACAGGCAGGGTGTGGGCTGACTTAGAGTCTTAGGTTAAGGTAGAATTTAGGATGAATTTTTATCCTGATAAAATGCTCTCATGGCATAAAACAGGAATCATATTCTACGCGGACATAGCTAGTGATTAATAATTACTTTGACAATTGACTTTCCTTAAATTATAAATACGTATTTTATTGCTTAGACATCACTGGCATATGGTGACGGCAAACATCGTAACAAACCCTGAACTGTTATTTTTAATCTATATTTTGTATCGACAATATCACAAAACAGAATAACAGCACCATCTATCTCATAGTATGTAATACATTCTCGTATGAAATAAATTTGTAGTTCATTATATACCTAATTTTAAATTGCCTACCTATAAGCTTGAAAACGCCTATCCATTGTGACAAGCGTGGTCTTCATAGATAGGTATAAAAAAGAGGTTCTGTGGTGACGATTAATGCTCAAACCTTCTTCATGTGCAAAGAGCCTACGCTGAGATGAGACCCTAAGCCCCCAGTGCTGAACAAATGCCTTTTCTCACAGTAACTAAAAATTATTATAAGTCCCAGTAATCCCCACATTGTTTTCCTTAACCATATGTAACTGGTGTCTAATAATCTCCGAAAGTACATAAGTGTAGCTCGGAAAAGCCACATTGATACTTGTCAAGTATCAAAGCCTTCATGGATCGAGGAGCAGACGTCTTCCAGGCGTTTTACGACCATTCTGAGTTTAAGTGCTAAGCAAATTTAATAATTGGAAGACGATCACTAGCGACTCTAAGTGCAGGTCTGCTGGCGACGAACAAGAGTAGTTCGCAGTAGACTAGAACCAGGGCCTTACGTTCCGCGCGCGCCTCAAAGAGCCATCAGACCACCACAGATATTCAATCCGGACCTGCGCACGGCCTAGCGGGTTACCGGGGCTCCGGCTCAAAGCAGGAGTAGTACCAGGGTGATATTCAGTCAGTAAGAGTCTGACACTCCCTTTTACCTCACCCAAGATGGGAGGAGTCACTAAATGATCCCCCTCATAGGTATAAGGTGTATAGGGATATATCGAATTAGGCAAGACATCTTACGTAAAGTATGTGATTGATGCTTCTGCATGAATGCGTCTGCAGGAGTGATGCCAGGACTTCACAGAAAACCAACGTGGAACAATACTTGCGTTATGGTATCTATGAGTCCTCGTTCTCCTAATAATCCGGCCACGTATTGATTACTGCTTTTATGGTTTCTACCATTATTTTATTCTTTTTTAGAAACGTTGCCCCACACTAGGATTTTCTCCTTTATCGTGGATGCATTTACAAACATACAAGCTCACATACACATGACACCTAGACCCGGTACAACCATCTGGTGATCTTTCTCAAAGATTTATACCAATCCCGTGAAGAAAATCACTAAGTGATACATAATAAAACATAACATTAAGAAATACCTATTTGACAAAAAGAAATGCTATATTTTTAAAGGCCTTACAATTGTGTCTCTTTTCTCAATTGTTTGTATCTTTCTATGTAGTATATAAATACAGAGGACCATAGAATTTCTATGTATAGGACAGATACTAGTACTACCAGTAGCCAATAATACTTTGGTTCGTCACCTATGAGGTGATTCAAATTAATACCTACCTAAATACGTAATTTAGAGAACAGGGTAGCGTGAGTGAGATGTGACTTGGCCAGTGGATCATACTCCTTAATCTTGTTCAATGTTACACGTCGACGGTTTGATGCTAGCGTCATCTATTGGTTAATTTGTCGAACTAAAAATCAGTTTGGTAGCCAGTGTTTCTTATCTCATGTGGAAGAGCGTCCATAAGTGAGAGAGAGTCATGCTTCGGGACGAATGCGTCGGTTCGATGGGAGTGATACCACGGCCTCATAGAAAACCCACGTGAAACAACAGTGTGCGGCGGATACCGGCGGCCCAATAGGGTAGATGCCTAATTTTTAATTTAATGCCCGTCTGGTAGATTATTTTAAATTATTAGACACGTATTTTTTATTTTCTTACAGAAACGAATACTTTCGACGATATATTGATTTGAAATGCCGTGTCACTTCTATGTATATTTTATACGTAGAAATGACGTTTTAGCCCCCACTCCTAAACTTTGATTTGAAAAAAAACAATTAACTAGGTATCTGTCCCAGCAAACATCGTACCGCCTAAAAAGTCCATCTAACTCACCTTTTAGACTGTCACGCTAAGTATTATTTTATTATACGACAAAATAAAAAAAATACGTCCAATATTTTTTCATTACCTAACTTACGGTCTAATTAGATTTTTAATTTTCATACCCTGTCATCATCCCAATTACCGCCCTCCCTAATCTCCCCATTCACCGAATCCCAAACTAACTACATTCACCGGGTCACCGGTAACCGCTCTCCAATGACTCCGCTTTAGACCTTATTTCCAATATTCAGAGACTACTTTTGTATGAACAAATTTTGAGGATATTCGGTACGATATATCAATCCACGATTATATACTTTTTTTTTTAAGGGGGGAAAATCATCGAATGACTGCTCCCGCCTGGGTGAGGCGGGAGGGAGTGTCAGACTCTTCCTGACTAAAAACCACCCCGTTCCTTCTCCTGCACGTCGAGCCGGAGCCCCAGTTACCCGTTAGGTTCTCCGCGACACGATTATATACTTGGAAGCAAAGAAACGTAATCACTAGCATTTTTATTTCCTTTTTTTTATTGAAACCTCTACAATAGGGTCGACTCCTCTACAGTCCTCTACAGTAGACGACTAATTTTTATATTAATGTCCGTCTGGTAGATTATTTTAAATCATTACACACGTATTTTTTATTTTCTTACAGAAACGAATACTTTCCACGATATATTGATTTGAAATGTCGTGTGGCGTCACTTTTATGTACATTTTATACGTAGAAATGACGTTTTAGCCCTCACTCCTAAACTTCGATTCGTTTGATCTAAGTATTGTTTTATTATACGACAAAATAAAAAAATACGTGTCTAATATTTTTTAAATACCTAACTTACGGACTAATTAGATTTTTAATTTTCATACTCTGTCATCATTCCAATTAACTATAAAGAATATTGCTGTCATTTTAAAGGTAACTAATTTGCATTTTACATAACATATGTTAATAAAATACCTGTATCACAAATATTATCAATATAATAATAATTATGACTGCACGGTTGGTGTAGTGGTTGGGCAACCGGCTGCCGTGCAACGTGTCGCGGGTTCGATTTCCGCACGGAACAACACTGTGTGATCCACAAATTGTTGTTTCGGGTCTGGGTGTCATTGTGTATGTGAACTTGTATGTTTGTAAACGCACCCACGACACAGGAGAAAATACTAATGTGGGGCATGTGCCCGGTATATGGCAATAGGCTCACCCCCTATTACATGGGACTCATAACATAAATAGTGAAAAGTGGGTGTTACATTGTACAGTGGCATTAAGTGCCGTAATGTGCACCTCTGCCTACCCCTTCGGGATAAAAGGCGTGATGTTATATTATGTGTTTCTGTATCACAAAATATCTATCAAGAAAAGAAAAGGAAAATATACCAGTGGCACCGTGTTTTTGCTACATAATTATCTAATATAGGAGTCTGTTTCACCTACCACTGATCATTGATTAAGTTTCTTTTAGGAAAACTTACTCACATTTAACACATTTCATATAAGTTAGTTATATATTACTTATCATTCAGTTAAAATAACAGAAACGGTATGTTATTGTTACAAATTGCAAATTAAATTATTAAGACAAATCTCAAGATACTTATAATGTCCACGGTTTAGTCTCAGTGTCAGAACAGAACAGAAGATTAATGTAAATATGTACTAAAATACTATAAACTATCGTTGCACCAACAATTTTCTGTAAAAAATATTTGAATAAACAATATTTCACAACTTCACTTTTTTTTTTTTTTTTTCTTTGGCAACCGAGTCTCCCACTTTTTTCATTACATATTTACTAATACAACTACTGCTGCCACCTGTCGTTTAGACAGTTCCAACTTGTCGGAACGGAAATTGTTACAATAGCGACATCTTCAAATCAAACAAGGAAACTTAAAACTAGTGATGCGTACATTATCTATTATAGTAAACTATTCGACTAACTTAATTATTATTTTGTTTTATTCTTAAAAAAAAGTTAGATTCAACAGTATCAACAACATAATAAAATACCGATATATTCAATATTTATCAAAGTAATAGTTATTTTTAGTTTTCTTTTATTAATTTTTTATCTTATAGTTGGTGTATATTTTTAATTAATTTTAGTGTAAAAATGGATTAAGTTATTTAAATATCTAAGTGAACACATTTTGAAATAAACACGAAATATTTTTGATGCCTTAAGCTGACATTTTTATTGTTGTATTTTATAAGACATTTTAGTTATTTAGATTTGTAATAATAACGTTAGTTTTTTATAATAATCACATAGGTATAGTTAAAATATATAGGTATAGTTTAATAGAAAACATACTATTTGTATACTCTGTGTTTGCAGGCAAAACATTAGCTTATCTGTAACAAACTGACAGTGAAAGAGTGAAACAAAGAGTAAAGCAAGAAGGCGTCAAGTCAAGCCGCGGCTCGTGTATTTTGTGACTAGAAAATTGTAAGTACACGTGTTATGAAACATATAGAGGAGTAAATGTTTAGAAAAGTTTTGTGTACAATTAGTAGCATAGCTTACAATAATTCTTCGCACAGCTTTGTAAATAGGCATCTCATCGCGCAATCTAGAACTATGAAGGTTAGAAATATTATTTTTACTTTAATAGATTTAAGTAATTATAACCTATCGGTAGTGGAACTAGTGGATGAATAAACAGTATTTATATTCCAAGCATTTTGCAATTAATTCTTATAGTATGTATATACAGTAGCGAGGTAGCTGTTCCGTCTTCCAATCTGCTTAGGATTTAGGTCACATTAATTTCGGCCTTTAGTTGCTATTACCCAAATGAATTCTTTTCGTATGATGATTGTTTATGATTTCGGATGATGACTTCCCTACTAGTTTGGCTACCATCTCCCCTCGTGATTAGCGATGATGGAGCACGCCTACCTATGAGCAACCTGTTCACTCGGGACTTGAAGACCCCCAAGTTATATTTGTCGGGAAACAATAGAAACAAATATAAGCAATAGAAACTATAAGGGACTGTGAACAGTAAGTTTAAATAAGTGTACCTCTTACTAAAATCATATTTATTTTTTAAGATCGGGACTCATGATGGCGTCTTCCACTGTGATGAAGTGCTCGCATGCTACATGCTCAAGCTTCTACCGCAGTATAAAGACGCAGTCATTGTCCGGACACGAGATATGGCCAAACTTAATGATTGTGACATCGTAGTGGACGTCGGGGCTGTCTTTGACCATGCCAAAAAGCGGTATGATCATCACCAAAGAGAGTTCAATGAATCTCTAAGCTCCTTGAGACCAGAACTTGGTGACAAGTATAAAATCAAGTGAGTACTTTATTTTATGTATGCTGTGTAGTAATTGAGGACAGGAGGAGTAGAATTAACTATTGAAATATATAGTGAATCAACATTACACACATTTAGCAAAAAAATAGTAACATTGAGCCACTTATAGATTCACACGAATACTGACTTAACTCGTTGAGTACCGTCATTATAGACACAATTAAAGAACAATAGGTTGCGGTCACCTGTGACCGCTCGGTGTTTGACAGTTTAATAGGTAACAGATATGACAAAATTAAAATTATAAATATATCAAAAACAGTAGGCACACAGCAAGAAAATAAGCTAACTTTTACTTCGTTCTACATAACATAACATAACATATCATCACACTTTTCTTCCCCAAAGGGCTAGGCAGAGGTGCATATTACGGCACTTAACTCGTCGAGTACCGTCATTATAGACACAATTATAGAACAATATATGTGATACAGGGCTTTCCTAGTACAGGCATCTAACTGTATAAGGTCTACATCGCTTATTAAGATAATATTTTTTGTATTTTGCTCATTTTATCATCAATAAAGATTATTATTATTATTATTATAATAGGTTGCGGTCACCTGTGACCGCTTGGTGTTTGACAGTTTAATGCCACTGTACAATGTAACACCAAATTTTCACTATTTATGTTATGAGTCGCATGTAACAGAGGATGAGCCTATTGCAATATACTGGGCACTATTCCAGACTTCATGCTACTACTGGGATTTTTTAAAAACAGTAATACTTTGCCCGACCCGGGAATCAAACCTGAAACCCCTTGCCCGTCAGTCCCACTTGTAACCACTTGGCCAATGAGGCAGTTTTCCTTCGTTCTGATGTAGCTTTATATCAATATTACATTAAAATGTCCTTTAGATCAATTAGCGTTCCAACTGTCTAATCATCTTTCAAAATTTTGCAATTATTGTAGTACTAAATTCTGATATCCTATCCAAATGTGGATTTGTAACTTAGAACTTTGTTACAGGTTAAGTTCAGCAGGACTGGTGTACACCTATTATGGTGAAGACGTCATCAAGCAGCTTGTGCCAAGTGATTCACCCTTAGCTGCGAAAGACCTTGAAGTAATATACAAGAAGGTTTATCAAAATTTCATTGAAGAAATTGATGCTATAGATAATGGAGTTCCAATAGCTTCTGAGGAACCAAGATATAAAATACGAACTCATTTGAGCAGTAGAGTAGCACGGTTGAATCCTGAATGGAATTCTAAATCAGTTGTCAATATGGATGAAATATTTGAAAAAGCAATGGTGTTAGTCAGTGAAGAGTTCCTGCATACTGTGAACTACTTCATGAAAGTTTGGCTTCCCGCCAGAGTTTACGTCAGGGAGGCATTAGACAACAGATTTGTCATACATAAATCAGGACAGATTGTTGAGTTCACCGAAAGATTCCCTTGGAAAGAACATTTATTTGATTTAGAAGAAGAAATGAATATTGGACATGAAATTAAATATGTAATTTTTAATGATAAACCGAACTCATGGAGAGTGCAAGCAGTACCTGTCAATCCTACTAGCTTTGTTACCAGGTTAGTTCAATTTTTATTTCTATAATTTTTCATCAATTATGACAGATTCCTGTGTATAGTTTCTCTTCTAAAAATGGGAGCCATGTATGCACATATATACTAATCAATACATAGTATAAAACAAAGTCGCTTTCGCTGTATGTCCGTATGTATGCTTAGATCTTTAAAACTACGCAACGGATTTTGATGCGGTTTTTTTTAATAGATAGAGTGATTTTTAAGGAAGGTTTGTATGTATAATACATGCATATTGCACCCGTGCGAAGCCGGGGCGGGTCGCTAGTTTATTATATTTTAAAATTACATCTTAATATTATAATGAGTTGTTAGTCAAGCGGTATTATCTCCCAAAGACTAGGTCTCTGATTGGATTATGTGATTGACCAAAAGTTGTAGTTTATTAATGGTTGAGTTTTAAAATTTTCGTTATATGGTATGACTATAAGTTTCACTTTTTAATAGCACTAAACATTCTAATCCTACTTCCTACTAATATTATAAATGCGAAAGTTTGTGACGATATGTGTTTGTTTGTTTGCTTGCTTGCTCGCTTGCTCGCTTGCTTGTTACTCTTTCACGTTAAAACGGCTGAAAGGAATGTTATGGAATTTGGAAAAGGGATAGATTATAGTATAGAGTAACACTTGGGCCACTTTTTATCCCACGAACGCGGGCAGTTTTCAAACCAAATAATTGTGTTATTTATTAGTGGACTTATACAGTACGGTTCACGAGTTATGACGGATGTAAAGTTCGCGAAGAAAACTGCGCAATAACATATTTTAGGAACCAAAACGGCTACGTGTACGACAGGGATATGCTAGGGACTGCTATTGCTATAGGGACGACTATTGACTCTAATTAAACACAATCGTTTTATTGTTTAATCAATTTATTTGCGAGTATACATGTGATACAAGTGCCTTGCGGCTAACTTCACCCCCTTCATTACTTGTGAACCGTATAATTGTAATATAAATTTTATAATTTACATATCGTATATCAACTTTTCTGTTTTAATTGGCAAAGAGGGTCCACCCGATAAATTTGCCACGGGCCTCGAATAGTAGATATAGTTTCGCCACTGCCGAGGGCAGTACTGATTATTTACATCTATAGAACCGTATTGAAATATGAATTTTATACTTTACAGAAAACCCTTGCACCCAAAATGGTGGGGTGTGAGAGACGAAGTGCTGAGTGAAGTAGCGGGAATTGCGAACTGTGTATTTTGCCACAGTACTGGATTTATTGGTGGCAACACTACAAGGAACGGTGCATTCACAATGGCCGTTGCTAGTTTGGAATCAGAAACATAGTCTTGTATTTTTATTTTTTATACTACAATAAATTTACTTGACGCATTTAAATTACTTTTGATGTTGTTCTTTGAAGGTAAGTATGTAATTCAGTAGATTGTTAAATATATATTCAAAGGATATTGAATAATTGTTAAACACAGTGAATATATACGGAAGAGGGGTGACTGCCTCGTTGGCCGAGTGGTCGCAAGTGCGGCTGCCAAGGGCAAGGGGTCTCGGGTTCGATTCCCGGGTCGGGCAAAGTATTACTGGGTATTTTAAAAATTCTCAGTAGTAGCACGGAGTCTGGAACTGTGCCCGGTATATGGCAATAGGCTCACCCCCTATTACATGGGACTCATAACATAAATAGTGAAAAGTGGGTGTTACATTGTACAGTGGCATAATGTGCACCTCTGCCTACCCCTTCGAGGATAAAAGACGTACTTATGATTTTATGTTAGGGGTGAATAAATGTTAGGAAATTGTTCTAACCTCTATTCACCCCATTCCTGACCTATTCATCCTTTGAATTCTATTCAGCCCGTTTAACGGTAATGTATAAATCATTATTCGTTGACCAAAAGTGTGAAATGTTTGTAAACCAACCATTGTTAGGGGAGATCGGAACCTTTCATTCTGGCTGTGTAGTCTTTCCATGTTTTATTATCGAAGGAATCTCACATAAAACTCCCAATTAGGTATCTATAGAGATAAATAAAATAGAAGTGTCTGTAATATTAAAACAACCGCTTGTACTATATGCATATGAATATGAATTTTTCTCTGTCTGCCAGTTTGTACTGGCTAATCTCTGGAATGGCTGGACCGTTTTCACGGGATTTTTATTAGCAGATAGCTAATGTATTAGTACTGTAGCAATAACATAGGCTACTTTTATTTTGGAAAATTGAGTCGTAATAAACGTTATGTCCTAAAATTCATATTCTTTGCTTACGGAAGTCGCGAGCAAACAGCTAGTGTGTAAATAATGAAATAGATATAAAGAAAAAAATCTATTTAATAAATAAAATGTACTTTAAACATTTCACATTGATTTTGGTTTATGCACGCTACACAATGTACAGTTCGAATTTACAGTTCAATCGTAAAGTGTGTAGCATGCATTATTTATTACATTATGTTTATTTTATTAACAAAACACAAGAATGGCAGTCAACAATACTAAAGATAGATGAGAGAATTGATTTTTTTTTTAAGGGGTGAAAATCATCGAATGACTGCTCCTGCCTGGGTGAGGCGGGAGGGAGTGTCAGACTCTTACTGACTAAAAACCACCCCGTTCCTTCTCCTGCACGTCGAGCCGGAGCCCCGGTTACCAGTTAGGTTCTCCGCGACTGATTACAGATATTTGTAATGAAACTCTGCGATTGTTCCATGAATAATAACTGTTTTTAAGGGGAAGCCTTTGTCCAGCATTGGACGTCTTTCGGATGATTATGATGATCACCTATTTGTTTATTTTATTTATTTATTGATAAACACGGTATACACCAATTACATTAATCAAATTAAATGACAAAAATATAAAAAAAGAAAATTAAATTAAAGTTCTAAGTAATTTTTTAAGTGTGGGAGAGCCATGCTTCGGCACGAATGGGCCGGCTCGACCGGAGTGATACCACGGCCTCACAGAAAACCGACGTGAAGCAACGCTTGCGTTGTTTTTCGTCGTGCGAGTGAGGTTACTAGAGGCCCAATCTCCGAATCCCCCACAATCCTCAAACACCTAATTCCCAAAAGGCCGGTAACGCACTTGTAATGTTTCTGGTGTTCCAGGTGTCAACGCCGATTGCATACCATCAGGTGATCCGTCTGCTCGTTTACCGGCTTATGCCATAAAAAGTACATGACTAAAAACCACCCCGTTCGAACTCCTGCACTTGGAGCCGGAGCCCCGGCAACCTTTTGCGTTCTCCGCGGCTCCGTATCTGCTTTAGCCCTATTGGGCCCCATCCGTGTTGGTCTGATCTGATGACTCTTCGAGGTCCGCGCAGAGCACGATGCACCGTATGCTCGAGGCTGGTTCTGGTCGATCTGTGAGCTATATATGCATGCTCGTTTTGGTGTTTCTTAAAAGGGAAAGTGTAGAGAACAGTGTTTTGTTGCATTCTCCATCATTGGTTCGTTAAGGACGCTAGGTGTTTGTTCCAAGTTCCAATTGTTTATTTGTTTGAAAAAGAACAGCTAATATTCATTATCGTCAGTTTGTTGATCAACTTATATGTATTATTATTTATTTTTTTATATTATTTTATATTTATTTATTAGGTAAAAATACAGAGCTTTTAAAAATGTGTCAAAACACCTTGAATGTTGATCTATATCTTTGTTCTGATGTTTTTGATTGTTAGTCTGATGATGTCTTCTTGGATTTGGTACAGCAATTGTTTACATATTTTATTTATTATATATCGCACCTTTAGAATTATAGAGACCTAATGCAAAAAATATAGTTTTAGGGAAACGGCGAAAAAAGGTTCGACGGTCACGATATTTCAAAGAAAAAAATATTATAATTGACTATTGCTTATAAAAATACTTTTTGATAGTTGCATAAATTATTCTTTAGTTATTTATTTACACATTAGAATAGTACAATTTTGAAAAAAAATGTTTATCATATATTTTATTTATTTATTTTTAAAATCGTAACAATTTAGGTCTTTATTCGATTAAATTCATATATTTTTTAAAAGACCTTTTCTTTTTTAGGTCTTTCTTATTCTGAACATTTAATCAAAACTTCGTTTCATTTTTAAATATGTCTTTATATTACTGAATTTCTTATTATTTAGCTAAAAGATCGATTCAGATCGGGCATCCCTATGCCGTACCTCCTGTTGCCGTAATGCACACACACACGCACTGTGACTATTGAGTTATCACTCTCTCGCTCTAACTTAGACGCCATGGAGCGCTGTAGTGATGCGTACGATGAATACGTACCAATAATCAAAGAAAACTTATGTGATTTTACGTAGTTTTTACACAGAAAAACAAATATGTGAAAATAATCCCTGCCTAAACAAACAACATTTTTTTACATTCAGCCGTCGAGTGGTATTTCATTTTAAATTTAACAAAACAAAATAGATACATTCCGTTTGCGCCAAGCCTGGGTTCATTTTGAGCATTGTTCTTTCTCTATAATCGGACATTTTTTTATTCTGTATTATTTCTGCGTTTCCTAGTTCTTTGAATGCCTTCTGAGATACACTTGATTTCTGCAATATTTGAAATGTTTTAAATTACCTCTTCTTGAAAAGGACTGATTGAAATCGCAACCGGTTAATCCGTTAATGCATGAAATCCAGGTAAGCTTTGGTATATAGAAGGTCTCTTTTTTGTATATAGTTTAGAAATATTTATCCATTTTTACAATTATTAATGGCATGTATTTAATGCGGCAACTAAGTAAACTGAATATAGGTTTTAAAAAATAATAGAGTGGGTACCATATATAATAGGTTGGCAGCTAATAAGGAGTATCGTAATAATTAATAGGTAGCATATTAATATATCAGAAATAAGCTCCGTTTTAATTTAAACTAGCATCAAGTTTTTCTTTTGGGAACTGAATTAATATCTAAGCGGAAACTTAATGGCGAAAATAAAATAGAAAATGGGCATTCATAAATAATATAAATCAGATTCTATTTAAAATTGTTTGTATGAAGAATAAATATAAACTATCTTATATTATACATATATTGTGTGACTTTTAATAGCTTTAAATAAACTCTAAAATGGCATGAAGAAAAAATATTTTGTGGTAATAAAATTATAGGTGAATAAATTAAAAACATAAAAAGAGTAATTACTTTTATTTATTTTTAAAAAATCTTAGAAAACTGTAGTTATGCCTAAGTATTAAAGTTACACAGTAAAAAGTTACGCAGTTACACACAATTAAAAAAAAACAATAGTATTATTGTATTATTAGGGCAGGTTTAGATTATTAACACACGACTTTTCTCAGAACAACTACCTTTATTATTTTTAATATTTTTACAACACAAGGTGACAACATACATAAAAAGTCATATTACCAACCTTACAAAATATTTTGTTACTTGCCAACCTAACACCCCTACTTAACAAAATAACTTTAACATGTTTTAGTTTATAAAGACTACTATTTGTCCTAAGCAGAAATAATCCCTAACATATTCAGGAATTTATAATGCTTATTAGGTGATAATCCTTTTGTCAACAAGTCGGCAGGCATTTCTTGTGTCGATATGTAATTGATTTCAATCAACTTATTTTTATATGCCTCTCTGACATAATGATAACGTACATCAATGTGTTTTGATCTATTATGCGACTGCTGGCTTGCTGTCAATTTTAAAGCACTCTGATTATCACAATAAATTTTAATAATACACCACTTATCAGTAAGTTCATGTAACAAATACCTCAAATAAATAGCTTCTCGAGTGGCCTCTGAGAGAGCAACATATTCAGCCTCAGTACTGGACAGAGAAACTGTCTTTTGCTTTCTACTCTGCCATGAGATTACAGATCCCCCCATAACAAAGCAGAAACCAGTGTATGACTTCCTGTCCAGACTGTCACTGGCCCAATCAGCATCAACAAAACCTGTTAGACCTTCATTTCCTTTACTGTATACTAAACAATAACTTTTAGTCTTTTGTAAATACTTTAAAATTCTTTTAGCATACTCATAATGAATTTTATCATAACAATTATTGAATTGGCTTAGATAGCTAACAGCATATGAAATATCAGGACGTGTTAGGACAGCTAAATACATAAGACTGCCAATTAATTTTTGATATGGAATGTTTGTTACACATTTTTCAGATTTTGGTATGTTCAATTTACACTCAATCGGCGTGTCTACAGTTTTACATTCAGACATATTGAATGTGTACAATAGTTGATTTATGTATTGCTGTTGATCTATAGTTATTGTATTCAATTTCTTATCAACATTGATTCTCATACCTAAGTAACGCTTCACAGGTCCTAGATCTTTTAATTTAAACTCAGAACTCAATACATTCTTTAAGTTTTCTGTTTCCA